TGAGAAACACAGTGAATTTCCAGAAAAGGCAAATTTGTTTAAAGGTAACTTGGATATTTTTTCACAAATATTTTCAATTATTTCCATATTTTCTATCTGATTCTCAATAGACAAGTTTTCAATATTTGATAGAGATGTATTTTCTCTAAAGGCTTTTGAAAGTGTAAAATTAAAGACACCATTTACCCCAATTGATAAATATTTCAATAGAGGAGCAATCATTGATTGGATAAGAATCTGCATAAGGTCAAGATCTACTCGATAACTTTCTAATTTTTCTAATGTTGGCAAATTGAACAACTGTGAATGTTTTTGGTCCAAAAGAATGGCACTCGTGTTAGTAATGAATTGTAAATGTAGTGATTTTAAACCTTTACAATTCAATATTTCCTTAAATTGTGAAACTGGAATGTTAAATCTGACAAGTTTAAGATATTCCAATGCTGGAAGATTTTTAAACAAGTGAGCCTCCTTAATCACATTTCCATTCCCATGCAGTGTAATACTTTTTAAGCTGAAAGTATTCGAATGAATGATATTACTGACACCACTGGATGACTTTAGGGGACATTCTATATGTTGTAAATTGAATAAATGCAATGAATTGAGATTAATGTTATTACAGTTTCGAACTATTAAAGATTCTAAATGGTTGCTTTCAAAATAATTTGAAAAATCGAGAAATGCTACTTCGTACAGATTCAACTCTTTCAAATTTGTAAAATTAAGTTTGATTTGATTGAATAATTCCCAAGTGATTGGAACATCAATCACCAAAGAGTGAATTTGTTCAGCAAATGACGATTCACAAAACATTCTTAATAATTCGGTAGTGCAATCCGAAGTAATCAACCATTTTCTAATTAATCGGCAAGCTTTCATAAATTGTTTACTGACAAACATTAATCGGAATCCTTCAAAATTAGAAAGATATGATACAATTCAACTATAATTTCATCAGGAAACAATTCTTCATCTTGTTTTCTCTTTTTTCCGAATGAATCAAATTCTGAATTTTCATCCATGTTTCTCTTCTTTGAATTAATTTCCAATTGCTTTGTTTTCTCTTGTTCGAGAACAATGATCATTTGTGTGGCTTGTTCGTGCGTAAATCCCATTTCCAACAATTGTTGCAATGTCGTGGTGATAAAGTTAGGTTGTGTAATATTCATGTTTTTATAGTTTTTCCAAGTTTGGATTGTTTACTGATGAAAGTTTTAACTATATTAATAATAATGAATCAAAATTATTATTGGGTGAAAACGGTTTGCTTGTTGAATAAATCCAAAGTAATGGAACATAAAAATCCAGGAATGGATCTGAAATTCTTTAAAAATCTCATGGATTTTTCCTCTAGTGAACAAGCAAATTCAGAGTTTAAGAGTTTCATGGCATTTCCATCACTTTCAAAGATGAGATAATCTTCTGGAGATTCTGCATACATACTGCTCAATCTGAATCGATTATTTTCAATGACATCAACTCTGAAACCAAATAAGAGATAGATTGATTTTCTAAATTCGTTAATTCTCTTTTGGAAAACTTCTTTGAGCTTGGTAATTCTGCGTTGGGCATCTGCATTTTCTTCTTTGAGCTTTTCAATTTCTCGTTGATTGTTAATTGAGCTGGAGGCATTATCGTTGGAGGAGATTTGTAATTGCTCTTTGAGGGAGGTAATTTCTTCGGTGAGGAGCTTATTTTCTGTCTTTAATCGTTCAATGTCATTGTCACTGGATTTTTTGGCCTCAATTTCTGGGTTGATTTTCATGTGAAGAATTTTGAATTTCTCCTTATTGTATTCTCCCTTTCCTAGTCTCTTTTCATAGTTTGCAATTTCCAATTCGAGAGCGTCTCTGTTCTTTTCCAATTTTTCAACTCGTACCTGTAATTCATCTGATTTGGTTTGAACTTCCAACTTTTGAGCATTAACCTTCTCCACTTCATGTTCAAAGTTTTCGATAAGAGTCTGTTTGTCAATTATTTGTTTTTGCAAAATATCCAATCTTTCAAATAGTTCACGAGTATTTACATCCTTCTCCTCAATGATCTTTTCAAGGGCAGCTATTCTACTCATGTGATGGCCTATCTTTTCCTTAGTTTCCTCATCGGCAGCAGCATTCATAGCCTCTTCCTTGTCGTTGATGTGAGCAAATTTCATAGAGCTCTCCAATTGGTTCTTGGCAGCGAAGAGCTTTACTTCAGTGCTGGCCAGTTTCTCTTCGAGTTGCTTGTTTTCATTTCGAAGCTCGGCACATTCTGTCTCCCTTGATTCCAACTCCACAGTTAAACGTTCCACATGCTTGGCAATGTCAAACTTTTCTTGATTCACTTCTTGAATGGTTTCTTCGAGGCGAGTTATTTTCTTGGCTTGTAACTTGATATTGTAGTTTACATCCGATGGAGTATTATTAGGGAAGGCACTTTCCCAGCTCTTTAAAAGTGATTCAGTATTGTACAACTTGGACTCGAGTGAACTATTTTCAATTCGAAGAACTTCCAACTTGGTCAACTCAGATTCAAAGTCCTTGATGGCTTCCTTGAGAACTTCTTGTGATTGGAGAGATTCACTGGCCTTTTGCAATTCCGCTTCCAAGATTCGTATCTTTTTCTTGTCCTCATTTCTTTCATTTAGCTCTGCTTTGAGTGTCTTGATTTCATCTTGTAATTGGTCAAGTTCTTGAATCTTTGAATCATATTGTGAAGTCTTGAATGTTAGTATTTCATATTCATGGCTTAATAAATTAAATTCATGTTTTTGAGAGTGATAGACGGTCATTAGTTCAGAATTGGTAGTTGATGCTTCCTCCAATTGTTTGTTCATTGATTCAATTTGACTATTGAGAGTTTCTATGGTAATGTCCTTTTGTACAATATCACTTTTCAAAGTCTCTACAGTCTTGTTGATTCCAGATATTTTACTTTCAATTTCTTGTAAATTTAGATTCTTTTTGAGTCTTGGAAAGATTTTGTAAGTTAATAGTGGTTTGTTGTTCGGCAATTTTCTCTTTCAAAGATTGAATTTCAAGTTCCCTAGTGTTATTTTCCTTTTCTGTTTCTATCAGTATTTCCTCATTCTTCTTTTTGATTGAAGAGTTTTGTTGCTTGAGGTGAGCATTCTCTGATTGAAGTTTTTCGATGAGAAGCTTGTATTCTTTGAGTTTTCTTCTCTCTCCCTCAGCTTCATTATTCAATTGATCGATAATGTCGTCCCTCTCCCTGAGACTCTCATTGAGAATAGAGCTTCTATTGGTAATACTATCATTTAGCATGTTGTTGTTGCTGGCACTCTCCGTCGATGGTACTGTATATTTCAAGAGTGGTGAACTCGAAATGATCATTGAAGGATTATTCTCAAGGCCAGTATTGAGTGGTGATCCTGGCTCATAGTAACTACTTTTAATTCTACTCTTTCTATCCCTGGATCGTCCAGTGTAGAGACCTGCTTCCAATATTGGTCCACTCACATTTTCTTCATCATTTCCAAAGAGCATGTTATTGGCAGCAGAGGATGTTTCCTCTTCATCAAAAGGAGGTGGTGAAATGACAAGTGAACAATTGGCCAAATCTTCTTCCTCATCCTCAACTTCCGTATGACCAGCATTAGAAATTAATTGTTGTGAAGCTAATTTTCTCTTTTTCAAAGGAGAAGAAAATTGATTGTTGGATTGTTGAGAAGGTCTTTTCTCAAAGTTTCTATTTACATTAGTTTCCATCGATGGTTCTTCATCCTCAGCACCAAATAAATATTGTTCCTCAATGGTAGATTTTTCAATATTTTCATCCTCGAATACACTAATTGCTGGTTTTCTATTCACAATAGATTGATTATTCTTATTTGAATTTGTTCCGAAAGTTTCATGCACATAATTTTCGAAATTTTCATCATTTGTTCCTTGAACATTCTTGACAGATTCATTAAGACTTGTTGATGA